ACCGCCGCCGCCCCTCCGCCGCCTTGATCAGGCTGCTCGCGGTGGCGGGGCCGGGCCGGGCGGGCCGTGACGGGGAGGAGCTATCCTCAAAATAGGATGCCATGAGAAGCGAGCGAACGCACCCTGGAGGGAGTGGCTGCGCCGGCTGCGCTCGTGCGGTGGGGCCGCCGGCGGCCTCCCTGAACGAACGTGCCTCGAGGGGAGAGCGGCGGAAAATAGAACGTGCCCGCCGAGATGTGCGCCGTTCAGAAGGCATTGCCGCGCCACACTGTGCTTTCGCGAAAGCTCGCGGTCCCTCCTCGATCGCTATGGGCGCGGCGCTCCCGCACTGCAGGAGGAGAGTGACTTTGCAACTGCAACGACCCTCTTCCGACTTGTGCAAGAGTCTCCCTCGCGGCGCTCTGTGTGCCCCCCCAAAGACACCACGTGGTAGACTAACCCCGTCCCCCTCTCCCCCCACGCCCGAGCCCCGCTCTGCACTAGTATGACGGTCACGGAGGCCCGCGGCCTGGCGCTCCAAGACATGCAGCGCCTCCAGAATGCGTCCTGCCGTCGCTGCCCCTACTGTGTACGTAACGTTATGTTGTACCCAGCGAGCGGGGCGGGGCCCGCCACCAAAGCAGCAGCAGGACTGTCCTGCAGCAGTAGGGCCGCGTGCAGCAGGATCGGCCCTCGAGGAAGAGGGAAAACTGCCCAGGGTCGTCCTGCCCGGTTTGGGTGTACCGTAGAAGGGCATGCAGTTGGCGATTAGTAGGGTCAAAAAGTAGGGTCTAGTACTAATCGCTAACTACATTATCCTCTAGGACACCGCTGGGGCGTGCTCAGGAATAAAGTGATCGAATTAAACAAATGAACGAACGAGGTGGATGAGCGAACGGGAGCGTCGAACGCGCCATAAGAGCCAGTGGGGCCCGTTTGTTCACAGCAGCCGTTCGTTCACAGCAGCCGTTCGTTCACACGTTCACTGCCCGTTCGTTCACCGGCCTGGTTCCTGGACACCCCCCCCCAGGATCGCCCTGAAGGAGCATACGCTCCCGGCTGCAGACTGCAGGACGATCGTCTTGCCGGATCGTCCTGCTGTAGGGCGGCCTGCAGCGCCGGCAGCTTTTAATTATGCAGACCACGCACGGCCGGCCGGTCACCAGCCGCCGGTTGAAATCCGCACGGCGGCGCCATTAGGGCTCTTTATTCATCGGGCTCTAGGCGCCGGGGGGCGGGGCATGGACAGGGCTGGATAATTAAGCCCGATGGAGTGTG